CTGGCTGAAAGGATGTTCACTCTCCTTGGAAAAGGAACCTTATGAATTTTATCTGCACTTCCGTTACTTCCAGATTAGTGGGCTTCTTTGCACTACTGACAGGGTCATAAATGTCTGGGTCCTGAGGGCAGTGTTAGCCCTGACTGTCCCTAGCCACTCATCTCCCCTTGGGACTTCATCCCACAGGCAGCCCCACTGCACCCCGACTGTCAAGTGAAGCTCTACAGAGATTTGCAGGTAGCCTGCAAGAAAACAATTTTCCTATTCAGAAGAGCACCGAACAAGTGCAGAAAAATCTGACTACAATTTGCTCACTGATCTCTTGGTGAACTATGATTGTGTTGATTATGACTTTTAAATCCCTAAATAGTCTGAAGTTGGTGTATCATAATGATTGCTTCACTTTCTGTGCTCTCCTTCAATAGCTGCAATCAGCATAGACTTTCAGATGAAATCTTCTTCATTACAAAAGACTAAAGGGAGGGAATAGGGAAACTTATTCTTGGCTACAGCTCCAAGACTCTGGGATTTTCTCCTTAATTTTATCTGAAAACAGCTCAAAGTAGTACAGCTTGAGGCAAAAGCCACCTTTTGAGGGATTCTTTGAAGAAATCAGCAGTGTTCTTCCTAGATGAAGAAAAACGCAGGCAGTTTGAACAGATTTGAACAGAATCTCTTTCACACTGCTTAATTTTTCTAATTAAACTTATTTGCATTTACTGGATGATTGATTAAATAAGTATGCCTAACAACTTCGGTACACAGCTATTATATTTTTCATATAAATAAAATCAGACAATTACAATCTTACTTGTAGAAGGTTTTATACATAGCTACTGGACTGTAATCATAAGAAAATTAATGACTTGTTAGCATTAGTAGCAATTAATTTCAACAACTTTTTGAAACATCTATTAATCATTTATTAACACTTTATTTAAAAACTAACTTCTGTAGGCATTTTTCCACAATGAGTTTATGACTGTTCTCTGTGATTGTAGGAAGAAAATTACAGTATTTGTTCAAAGTAGGGAGGAACCAGAACACTCAGTTTGATGGTCTCTGTACAGCAAGGCTAATAGCACTCCTGGCAAAACTTTCTCCTGTATGTAGGTTTTTTATGCCTCTCCATTAAAAGACAGTCTTGGAATGTATACATTATCTACATTGTAGGCAAAAACGGCTGCAGTGCTGTTTTATTACTCCCGAGTTAAATCAATTTGATAAAAAGACACTATGTAAAATTTCAGTATAGTTCATCACTGGCTGATGGGAAAAAACAAAGACTCATGCACTATGTATCATTTCTTGAGATGTGCAAACAGTCAACTGGCCCCATGTAAACAGCATTTAGATCTGAATCTTAGCCATAAACCTGTCCCTTAAACATGAACAGATGAAAAAGGTGATTTTGTTTCCATTAAGGAGTATCGACCAATAGGGAAATGATAATGACTCAACTACAAAATATAATACAGAATACTGACTGTGTCTAGTCTAAACATCCTCCTCATGCAGCTGAGATGTTTAAGCACACTAGGAGAGCGGTCCTTAGTTATATAAGCACAATGATAAACTGTCTTAAAAACATGTAATTTTATTTAAGCATTCAAAAGACTTAAAAGTATCCTAAATGTCTCAAAAACTAAAAAGAAAACAAGAGAAGCCTCTCCACTAAGAAAGCTTCTCTAAAAAATTCTTTCAGGAACTGAAAATAGGGATTAAGAAGAGGATATCTCAATGTTATTCTACTACAATACCGTAAGTAGGGTAGAACACAAACGGAGAGAAGTTTACACAGATGTTTTAGAAAACTTGCTGAAACTCTCAGAATAATCAGGAAACAAGCAAAGACTGATTTTTAATTCTTTTTTTCAGAAAGGTTCTAGTTACATTTAACAGTATTTTTTTTATTTTTTTTTTTTAAAAAAGACACTAATATTACTCTTTTTTTTAACATCTCCTACATGAAGACTTTTTCTGCTCCGGGCTGTTCAGTCTGTGTTTTGGCGATACATGTTGCTTTTCTGGCTTGACCCTAGAGTACCTCACAAGTAATACAAGCTTTAAACTTCCTACAGAATATCTGAAAGAAGTTTTGATGAATGAAACCAGGTCACTTTGCATTTCCCTATCAAATTACACAGCATAGCACCAACATGATTTACAAAAAATTATGCCTCCTACTTAGCAAATATTTGAAATCCTGAAGTAGGTTTTGTTTTCAGAAGTAATTCAGAGAAACGTAGGATACACAATCTTAATCTTTCTATGCAGGGGAATACAAATAGAGATTTCAGAAAACAGCATGAATTAATTATGGATCTAGCATTAATTTTTAATATTGTCCACTGTCCTCTAAGTAAAGCTTACTTTCCCAATATTTATCTATTCACTAAGCATTTCTGTTTGTAGAAAGAGGTGACTTTTCAGGTTGTTTTCATATTTACTAGCTTTTGTCATTACTTTGACTAGTCTTTGATAAAACACACTATTAAGAGTTACTTCTAAGATGTCCAAAACCAGTGTGACCTATCTGTTTTTTCAACAAATCCTCTCAGCATTACAGTTGGGGGACAATGAACAAGAATGAAAGTAAACCACCCGAAAACTTTGGTGTGAGAAAGAATAAACTAAAAAAAGTAAGGCAAGTTGCACAAAAGGAAGACATAGAAATAAAATGACAATATGTAAGTATTAATAAAGCCTTTACTCAAAAAGTTGCATATTCAATTTTAGTAAGGATCACAGCAGAGATCCTAAATAGTCACAATCTATTTCACAGTGGTACTGAATTCATAAGGACTGTAGGTATTTCTACCTGCCATTCTACTATGTTTTTAGAATAAAGAACTCTACAATTCAAATGGATATTGTACTAAAATAATTCCAAGAAGATCAATTCGTGTTATGAGTAATGCTGAAAGAATTCTTCAAAATCAAAATGTGAACTTTCGAAGAAGGCAGCTCCAGTCATCTCTAATAAGAACAAGGGTCTGTCAAGTTATACATCTTTCTTAATGTAATAAATTAATCTCTTCATAAACTTCACATTAACAGAAATAATAAGAATGAAAGTTTTATGAGGAGTAAGGTAAATGCACTGTTCTACAAAGTTAACAATGAGGAGCTTTTTTGGTCTTGTTTCACATTTAAATTAAGCACCTGTGGAACTGCACTCTGTAGCCACTGAGTTTGTTCTCATTTGAGTACATTGCTTCCTACTACATAAACTAGTGACTTCAGCTTTTACTATTTGGTGTATTGTAGTTCTCGTAAGAAAAATATATTGCCAATTCACTGCAGAAAGTAGCTATGAGAAAAAAAAGTCTCAGAGTTGGTCTGAAACACAACATTGAAAAAAGAGATATTCTAGCATCTTACCGTGTATGTCCTGCAACTAGAGGAGACACACTGTCTTCCCTAGATCTTCCAGTACTGAAGGACATACAAGCTATACTGGACTAAACTGAATGCTATTGTGATTTATAACATTACATTTATATCTACAGTTACTGTGCTTGACTAAGAAAAACAAAAGATAGAAAGTCATTATATGTTTCTTTGAATGTATGTTAACTACATGTTCATTAGGTTTCTTTGAAATAATTCTCCAATTTGGAATATGCTCTTCTCAACGCAGAATTTTTGTGTATGGATCAGGGTATGTTAAGAGATAACACATATTAGACCATTTGCTACATTTTTTTCTCCTATCACTGTCCTGATACCTAAAAACATTCGCCTCCTGCTGTTAAAATTGGAAGACTGTTGGGGCTACTTTAACTTGTACTGCTTGTTAAAAATACCAAAAAGTAAATATGGATGCAAAGGATTACTGATCTGATGAACATATTTTTTTAACATTACTCTGTATAAACACCCCACCTCAGCATGTGCTTAAAGAACTTTTGTCTGTTTGGGGAGGCTTATGCTCTTTTCTGCCATTAGAGAAGTGCAAGAAAGGCATTTAATGTTTGTTGAATAATACTTCACAGATAGGCTTTTGAAACAGACACCATGAATATAAACAGGGATGTAGAAAGATTATTATAGCTCAAAATTAGTAACTAATATCCAAGATAAAATATTGCATAATAGTTTACTCAACTTTTTCAAGTTAACTGCATATATAATGCATATTCTCAAGATAATGCCTCTGTGATTTCTACTCCCTTTGAAATTTATAGCTTCAAAAATGTTCTTCGTACCTACTTGATTAGACAGGGAAAAAAGCAAAATAATTGTAAATTTGTTCACTGAACTGAAAAGTAACAGTTGAATTTTACAACATTACAGTAAGATTTCTAATTGGTGTAAAGAGTTCTGCGTTAGCTGTAGATACAGCTACTAGGCTAAGACTACTGTTTGTTTAGCCTAGAAGTATACAGAAGACTTTAGGAAGGCAAGTCTGTGCTTGAATGTATCTGTATGGACCTTTTTACAGAGTTCATTCCAACCAGAGGAGGCCATAAAAATGATCAAGGGCTGGAGCACCTCTCCTGCATGGACAGGCTGAGAGAGTTGGGGTTGTTCAGTCTGGAGAAGAGAAGGCTCCGGGAAGACCTAATCGTGGCCTCCCGTGCCTGAAGGGGACCTACAGGAAAGCTGGACTGTTCACAAAGGCATGTGGTGATAGGACAAGGGGTGATGGTTTTAAACTGAAAGAGGGGAGATACAGACTAGATAGAAGGAAGAAATATTTCACTATGAGGCTAGTGAGACACTGGCAGAGGTTGCCCAGAGGGGTGGTGGAGGCTCCATCCCTGGAGACATTCAAGGTCAGGCTTGATGGGGCTCTGAGCAACCTGATCTAGTTAAAGATGTCCCTGCTCACTGCAGGGGACCTGGACTAGATGATCTTTAAAGGTCCCTTCCAGCCCAACACATTCTATGATTCTACGATTCTATAGTAAGAAAGAAACATTTAACATACACTTGCATTCTCCTCCCTTGATGTCCTTTTCAGTTAAAATTTTTCCATTTTTTTGTGCACTTACTTTGAACTCCATGGGAGCGAACTATTTTCCAGGTTTCTGAGGCTACCTCTTTTACATCCACTTGGTAATGATGAATGGGCACACCTCCATGTGAATCCGGTTTATTGAATGAAACTTTGGCAGTGGTTTGTGACAACTCTAAAACTCGTACTCCATAGGGATTTGATGGCACATCTAAAAAAGTACAGACATCAATTTAATAATCGTCAGCAGCTAGACAGGCCTAAACAGCTCATAATCTATCCCAAAAAGTTTCCTTAGCATCTTGAAGGGAAAAAAAATAAACATTGAATACGATGGAATAATGTCTGTGTTAGATAAACAACTTAGACTTTCTAATACAGAGCTGTAAGAAACCTGTACTTACTTTCTTGTATGCTAGTTATACAAAAACATTTTCCGTTCCTGCCTTTCTTTCGTAATAGGAACTTCTAAAATAGTTAATTTTGTCATAGGCATGTGTAAGATATTAGTTTGTTTATTGCGTAACAATGTAAGGGAGAATAATAAACTTCAAATTTAACAAAAGGAACAGGAATGGCTTAAATAGATCATACAGAGTCTGAATTTTTCTAAATGAGATTATAAGAAAAATTGTAGAAATAATTTCACTGGTTTTATGAAACTCTGAAATACAGCTGAAAATACAATATTTTTTTTTTTTTTGGAAAGACTGGATTCCAAACTCTTAGAAAGGAATAATAATGGAGGGTTTCTATTCTCTTTTCAGTTTAAGAAATAATTTGTGGAATATATTGAAAGAAACATGTTCTCTGAAATCAAAAGCATGTCCATAATTTTCAAAGTAGAAAAGAACTATGAAAATAAAGCAGGTGTCTGTAGGTGTTGAAATGCTAGATATGAAACAAAAGCAAAAAAAATAACCTCAGAGTCAGTACATCTTAAAAAGCAGAAACATTATGTTACTTTTACAATACATGACCAAACTAACACAAAGAAGACATAATTGTACTACATTTCAAAGTGTTTTCATTACAAAAAAATAATGTATTGAAAATAACAGGAAGAATTTTTGCTCTGTGGGCAGAACCAGCCATTTGAAACACTGTTAAAAATTTCTCTTCTGATACATCTGACACTTATCTGCATACCTGCATACAGATTTGACATTGCTTTTGTCTCCATGGTATGGAAGATATTTTCATATGGGCATAGAGGAATTTGAGCTAAAGCCTATCATTTAGTTAGTGGGTACTGAACCACTTAAATAAAACGTAGTCTTTATTCAAGGGCTGTGCGACAGTTGGGAATAGAAAGAGATTCAATCTGAGCTTCACCCTGTATTGGTACTTGAATGAAAATGAGTCCAAAATGTCTGTAAAATATTAAGAATGGGTTTAAGTACATATTCAGCCATGTATTCTCAGAAAAAGGACACCTGCCAAAGCTGCTCTAAATGCACTGATTTGTATAACCCTGAAAAATTATTTAACATTTGTCAGAGTTAAGGGTCTCAATGCTAGTATCGTACCTCTGTAAATTCTTACAGTTAGCATTTCTGAATTCACGTCTTCTGAAACCTTCAATGCTTGGTGCTCATTCAATTAGAATCAGCACAGATTTATTTACACGGATGAACAAATTCAATATCTTTTATTACAAGCACAATTATATGATTCCATGACAGTAGAATGCAAATCTTAGTTTGAGGGATTCAAACCTTCAAATCCTTTCTTATTCTAGGAAATATTCATTTCATCAGGATATGGGATGCTGCAGGGAATTTTCACCTGTCTTAGAGAAGCTGTATTACTCTGCAGAAACAAATTCAAAATTCATGGTTGGGCAGAATATGACCAAATATAACCAGTATGTTATGCATCCAAAAGAACACAAATCCGGGTTTTGAATCTTTTTCTAAATTGATCTGCAAGCTGGTTTTTTTTAGAAAAAAAGAAAATATGTTCAAAAAACAATACAGATCTTTTCTCCAACCACAGGAAGGCAGAATTAGTTATATAAGTTCCTTGCTAAGTAAGCATTTATCCCAAAATCGGAGAAGAATGATGATTAGAACCAGTTTGTGTTCTCTCTCATCCAGATTCTCATTAAACCTGAGAGTAACATTTTTTTCCCATGATAGTGACCCTACTTTAAACATCATTCTGTGTGCAGATTCTAGCTCAAATGACTGTTCTGAGAGGAGCAGGAAAAACACAACGTAAGACTGTGAACAAATCAATCCAGAATAGCCAAAGTAAAGCAGTGCGATGCTTTATGAGTGATGTGGATACCAATCATTTGGGAAGATGAGTATAGCTCTGCAGTACTGAAGATGAACGCTCTTTGAATTTAATTGCAAGCTAAAAGCTGTTGTAGACACCTACAATATTACAAATATTTGTTCAAAACTTTTATTCTTTTACTGTTGTTAAAGGAGTTCAAAATGAAACAAAAAATATTTCAGGTTAAACGATTATTTAATTTCACTCGGGTTCTTTTTATGTTGTTTTTTGTATGCTCCTTTTATAAGGCAATTCACTGTTACTTCAGTTTGGATAAAAACAATTATCTAGACAATGGTATGAAACAGAAATCTGTTATATACATATCCATTCTGTTCTTGACTTTCATAATGTTAAGGATATCTCTTTTCCTTGTGTGTTTATGTCTGCAACTGCATATCTACAATAAACACGGCATGGGGAAGAAGACATGCTTCAGGAAAAACCTTATGTTCTATAGTGCAGATTCAAGTATGATTTCTGCCAAATGAAGATATGATTCCATTTGGTAATAAGCACAAAATGAAGCTCCTGTAAAAACCCACTAAAATATTTTGCATAACTAGCACAATGCAATATGCTTAAAACTCATTCAAGTGTGAAATACACCCAGAATGCTATTTTAAACGTGTATCCCACAAGCCACACATGTAGGTAATTTTTTTTCAGTTTTCAGAGTTGAACTGCATCACTGTCTAAGAAGTAGTGAATCACCTGAAGAAAATACAACAGAAGACACATTCCTAGTCAGAATCAGAAACATATACTAGCAATTCTATTAAGCTGGAATAAAATACCTACTGTCTCTTTCAGACTAGGCAAATCTGAAACTTTTTCCTTCAAGATGATGATTAGCAGCATAACAAAGTGAATCTAATTCCGTAGTTTTCTAATGAGTGTGCATTTGATCATGCAAGGTAAACACCCTCTAGTCCTGATCTAACTAAAAATTCCAGCATTTGACCTGTCCCCTGTCAGCTGAAATTATTTGGAACATTGCCATGTTATTCGTGTCAGAATTGCAAGGATTTTGGCTAAATGTGAATGAAGAATGATTTGCAAAGTTGTGCACTCTAGAGTCTGCATCTGGAAGGATAGGACTCTGGATGATTCTTGTTCTTTTCCCTTCTAAAAGCCACAAAACAAATGAATCTTGGAGGAGTTTAGCTATGGGTGGTGATTACTCTTTCATATAAAGTACCAGATGTAAGTTGAAAGACTACATACTAGGAAAGTATGGGATTTCTTTTCTATGAGCTAAAGATCACTTAGTGATAGAACAGATTCTGGTGTACTTTCTTAGAACTTTCACTGCTTTTTGTTGTTGCTACACTGGTGTCAAAACAAGGGGTAATTTACCAGAAGTTCAGTCTTTAAGTTAAGCTATTAAAAAAAACCAACAACAGTCAGACATTTATTCAACTTTGTCTGCTTTCCACAGTGTCTGTTCCTTTGTTCAGTATGTGACTGTAATCATATCAGATTTCAAAGAATTCCTTAAATATAAAATAAGATCCCTAAATAACAAGTTTAAAATTGCACTTGATTTATTCTGCACTCAGTGCATAAACTGGCTAGCATAAATTAACTTTGTAATACATTGTCCTAAATTATGCAGTACTGGTTTGGCTCCAAAAACATTGTTGCAGTGGACAGATAAGTACATACAGAATTACGAGTACATATTTATCTCCACTGATATGTTAATGCTCTTTCAAGTCTATTACTAGTATTACTCAATCCCTTCAATAAATAACCACCATTTATCACGGAGGCTTTTTTTCCCCCCAAGCTGTTTTTTGGATAACTTTAATGGAAAAAAATCATTTTCCTTCTGAAAGTTTAGCAATCCTGGTATAAAAAAGCGATGGTGTAAGGGTAAGTAGTGGTGTCAGAGATTTATCTTTCAGTTAGTTCTTGCCTTCTATCACCTGTCAATATTTCCCTAGTGGAGCTCTGCAGCTACTCCTGTCTGTATATTTGTCATATATATTGACTGAAAGTAACTTTCTCTAAATGTTGAGTGTAAGCAGTACCAGGACCATGGAAGTGAAAGATATGGGCCTGGGGAATAGACCTTTGGAGTCAAAGATCTCTGTGAAATAGTTCATACTTGTTCATCCTTAGAATAGAGAAAAAAATGAGTATTAAATGTACAGACTGAGGGTTGCTTTGATATCCTCGCTTAGGGAAAACTGCAGAAGATTTCTCTAACCAAATCATTGGTTCTGGCAAAATAAGGAACTAATTAGAAAACAAGATCACAGCTAGAAAATAATTAAATAAATAAGTGAAAATAAGATACACACACACAAAGCAAAACACTTTTGCTGTGCTGATAGTTTCACACATATGCTTCTTGAAAAATTGCTGCTGTTTGCTTTTTTAGTAAAAAATCTTTAGCTGATGTTACTAAAGATGAAGTCTTAGAACAGAGAATTAGATTTTAGATCTGGCCATATTTTTGTGGAAGTAAATGGGATTTTGGCAGCAGCACTGGAAAAGTTATACAAATAAAAAAACCTAACAAACTCAAAGAAAAAAAAATCTTTAAGATCTAATAACGCTGTCTCAGAATATGATTATCTTTTTATTACATTAATCTCCAGGGAAAATTAAGTCCTACTTCTTTGATTTTACTTTGTCTATGTGAAAACACAAATATTTGGAGAAAAAAGGAACAACATCCATTAACCAGCACAAGGTGCCAACATTAAAAATCTAGATTAGTAAACTGCTAAATTTGACGGTTTAGTTCTTGTCATTTATAGATCAACCTTATCATATTTTGAGCATGACTTGATTTTGTAAAAGAGGTTGCAGGCTGTAATTTCTGTAAAGCTCATTTATTGTCTTTCCCATGCCTTCATTTGCTTTTGATGCCATTATTCCCCATCTCTGACTTTCTGTGTAGACAGGATGCTTTAACATACATTTCATTAAATAAAGTGGCATAGGAATTCTCGATATCTAATCATATCATAGAATGGATACAGATATAGCATCTCTCATTTCTTTATTAAGTATTATACGTCATCACCTCTGAATGCTGTAAAATCCTTGATAGTATACTGTGCAAAACATGTAATAGGGATGATTTGGCATGACAAGTTTGAAAGTCATCAGCAGAATTGCATGATGCAGCTAATTTGTACACTGTGTTCACCACCTGTTGGTATGGTTTCTGCCAACACTGATCCTGTCAACATTCAGTCACTGTAAAGTCTCAGTGCTGAGATGAAGTTCCAGGCACGATGTGGTGAGACCAGAATCTCAACTTTCATCCAAAAAAAAAGCATTCTTCTAGGTGCAAAGACTGAAAGAAAGACTGAAGTAAAAAAGTGAATCAGACTATGTATCTGAACTTTTAAACCCTAAGCCTGTCACAGAGGAGAAAAAAAGACTCTATAAGCAGACTTCTAAAATAAAAGTTGTGGTTGTGATGTGAAGTAATCAACTGGCAGTGGCAAGAAACCAGTAAGACTGTGGTTCTTATCATATTCTGCATGTTACACAAACAACAATTTAAATGTTTAAGCAATGAAAAAGGAGGATGTCAACCATGTGGTATTTTTTAAGAGTCGATGAGCACAAGTCAGCTGGTGAGCACATCTGATTAAGCTTTCAAAAAGTGCTGAAGTTTCTCAGCATTTACCAGTAACAGCCAGCACTGTACAGAGTGAAAAATAAGCTGCAGTTATTGAGTTGTCTTGAAAGATATAAATGAAAGTTTCTGGAATTCAGGCTGACTCAGTAGCTCTATATACATGGAGTGAAGAGGTATAGTTTTCCTGTCACGTAAAATGGTATGGCTGCAAATTGCATCTAAATACTGAAAGAAATCTTCTACCATCAATAAGTCTAATTTCTTAAGAAGAGAAACAGAAACAGAGATAATAGCGTTGTGACAATATAATAACTTTTTAGTTAGCAGCAAATTAAGAAAAAAAAGGTAGCTTGATTCTGCTGAAAACCAGCAAAGCAGAAAAATGAAACATAACATGAAGCAACAAGTCATTCCTGCAGAATTCTAAGAGAAAATTATTCAGTAAAATGGCCATTATTTGCAAAACTTATCATAGCAGAATACTTTGCTTAACACTGACTCCCAATTAGAAACGCCATTAATTTTTCCCTAACAGAGCCATTGTGAATGTAGGCTACACCCCAGAACTAGTATGAACAACCAAAGCCAGATGCAAGCACAGGCTGTACTGAAATGTATGACATGTATTTTAGGCTTTAATATGGAAAATATCCATCATTAGTGCTTCCAAATCTACCAAAAGAAAGCAAAGGGGTAGTAAAAACAGGAAGAAAGCTGCATTTAACATTTTATACCTGTAATTATTATGATGGTTTTATCCTCCAGCTCTCTGGTTCCCAGCTTCCAGCCAATACTAATTTAAGTGCAAAACTTGTAAGTGAACTACATTTGTTATTTGCTTTTCTTTTTTTTTCTCCCCAAACACATGATTTTTAGCTGCAAATGCTAATAATATCTGTCTTTACGGATATTGAATATTATGTGTTACACTTCCATAAAAAGCACGTAGCATAACGGAGCTCTGACACACCTAAACAGAGTTTTCAGCCCCGCATAAATACTACACTATGAATGGCTCATGTTAAGGATACCTGTTCATTATTATTACTACAAAATTTGAGTTTGTTCTATTTCCTGCATTTCATATAATTATATAGAACATCCATATATTGCTCGTGCTTTACATAATAACTTCCCATAAATCTTTATTCATAAAATACTCACTAAATATACCCTAATTTGCCTTTCTGTTTATAACTCAAATACTTTTAAGTGTTCATCAAGTTTTTTTTAAGAATTGACTGAAAAACATTAAGTAAACTGCTGCAAAAGTAGAGAACAGTAAGCTGTGTGAAAATCTTCATCTGTAACATCTCTGATCTAGTTGTACTCAAAAGCTAAAACAGGATTATAGGTTGTATGGAGTTATTTTCTCTCACTTGCATTTCCAGGGGCTCTCATGTAATTATTTGCTGAAATACAATGCATAATCAAAACATCACTTTTTTTAATCAATGAGAATTACTTTGTGTGAGAACTAATTAATTATTTATAAAACCGGAAGAGCAACACACAGCTATAATAATCATCATGCAGTATCATGCATTATGATGGGATACTGTTTTGCAAATCTAAGAGAAAATTCTGCAGATACAGAGTATCAGCTGAGATGCTCTCATACGTCAATATATCTTTATGAAAAAACAGTGTAAAGCAAAAGCTACAACTTGAATTCCTCCATTTTCATTGGCATAGTTTTTCTATTTTTTCGTCTTTTTCTGTTCTGAGAGGTAAGACATCAGAGGCATGAAAGTGGGATTTTTCCTTCCCTTTCCTATCATTTATATTCATGGCTGTCAGAAAGAATTCTAGTGGTAAGTCTTCTGGTTTCGAGGGAAACTAACAAATTATTATAGCAGCTTTCACATTGTAGTTCTCCTGTTTTTCCCTTCCAGTGAAGCCTCACATGTTACGAATCTCAGAGATGATACTCCAGAGGCAAGTGCAGTGTCCAGCCCAGCAGGGCGGGCAGAAGTAGCACTGCTGTGGAATCAACAGATACAGGTGTTGCCCCAAAACCAAAGCATGTGGCTGCAGGTAAATAGATGTAACTGACTAAAATCAGAGTGTTACACGCAGTCCTTTTTGTTCAACGGATTTAACGCAACTCTGCAAATCCTATACCAGTCATGAATATTTAGAAAATCTAATCCTAAGATTTTTAGAGGGCTAGATCTACTTCCTGAATCAAAAGATGGCAAAAGTAATACAGATATAGTTTATCTATTCAAATAAATGTTAGCTTCATACAAATCATGAGATTTCTTAGAGACAGAAAAACTGGTCTAGAAATAGCGTTTTCCCCATAAAGTTTAGAGCTTTTCTACTATTACCTCAATTTTGAAAATCACGGGGAGTATTTATTTCTCATATTTAATGCCATATGTAATACTGATTAGCTGCTACAGCCATAATTTTAGACCTGTTACAGAAACTCAATCGTTTAAGTAATTCCATTTAAATAAATGTGATCAATAAGGTAAATGATCATGAACATGACTGGGAACTGTTTTTTTCTGAAATTTCTATTCGTGAAAAATAAAATCATTTTAGGTGTGAATTAGATTGAGTCCTTATACTGGTGAGAGTTTTGTAAGATGGAAAGTAAAGAATGTACTGTATGAAATTAGGATTTATCTGAGACTACAGATGGTTACATGCAAAAGGAAGAGGTAATATAGTTCTACTTGGTGACATGCAGCTATTAAAGGAAGATCAGATTTGTAACACAGCTATTTCCCTAAAAAAAGTTGTAAAATTAAGAGGAAAGGGTCTTCTGGACAATGTAAAATTATGCCACAGAAATGTCCTGTTTTCCTACTTTAGGATACTCAGCTCTTTTGATGACTGTTCAAAGATTTTAGAAAAAATAGTAAAGTGTGTGCTACTAATCCATCCTTTAGAGATAATGGGAAAATCTTTCAATGCTGTATACAACTTCTACGAAATTTCTCAATTAAAACTTGTGTTTTCTAACTCCTGAGACACCAAAAGAAAATAATTACCCTATTGAGAAGAAAACATAAAAATTAAAACACCAGGCCAGAAAAGACAACCTCCCTATGTCTGTATGCGCACATTTCGACAATGCACGTCCAAAAGTCCTCCCAGTAGAGCTCCGAACAGTTTCTTTTCTTTTTTTTTCTTAAAAAAAAAGTATAAGCAAAATTTACAGCTGAAATGTTCGAGATCTAAAAAAAATACACAAGTTCTACTGTTTTTTTAAAAAATAAATTACACAAGATCTTATTTTTACTTGTCCCCTACAATATGTATCAGTCAGCCTGGCAGCACGGTATAACCTGACTGTTACATGGTGAAAACGGTCCATCAGAATGCATAACAAGGGGTGTATAACTCTTAGTATAGTATAGTTTGCTACTGTAAACTGCACTGTAATTCCACAGATGTGATTAAAGCTGGAACAATTTGCATCACCTACAAGTGTAGATTCAAATGTTAGAAGACCTCAGAGCAGCTGAGCAAGCATTAGTCCACTTCACAAGAAAACATAACTAAAAGAAACACTAAGAAATTCTCATTTACTCTTAGTTCATAGTTACTTGTGCCAATGAATAAACATACAGTCATATTTCTATATTTGCCTAAGCAACAAATGGAACTACAAATATCAAAAAAATCTGTAACAATTTGTTGTAGAACATCTTAGAGCTTAAATTAATTCAATTATAGCACTCTGAGTCAAATTCTGCTTTTAAATAACCAATATTGAAGATGAAGATAAAAATTATTCTCTGAAGTATTGCAGTCTTTTGTCATCTTTCATTTATCAAGAAAATACCAGGAGAAAAAACTTTCCTAATTCTGTCTCCTTTTTACTGCCTGCAAACCATATGTGTATCTGCTGAAGCAAATAAAATACACTGTTATAAATATAGGATGTAGTAAAGGTCAAAGGAAAAATGTTAGACTAATTCATTTTTTTCAAATTTCACAAGGCCTTAAAATCAAATTCAAAGAAGATTCATATTCTGAGGGAACAGGTTTATTTTACTTCACCTTGAAACTCGACATTTAGAGAATTTAAAGCAACTGCTGGAATAGAGAAAATAGTTTCTGAAGTTAATTTTGATTAAAATAGAAAAAATGATTACAGAAAACAACTTTTTAACTTACCAGCTTGACCAAGTGTATACTCCTGATACCTTGTTCCTATTCTGTTTGTGGCTGTACAATTATACCGTCCAAAATCACTGTCAGATGTAGGAGCAATCTTTGAAATGAAAAGAGTTTGTAAATATTAGTTTTAAATCTGTGTTCCTTAAAAAAATCAGAAATGCAAATATGTTCTCCAAATACAGATCTAAAAACACCTTTTACCATGCTAACCTCATCTTTCTCAAATCCAAATGAAGACATCAGATATGGAAAATGGTGACACTGTTCATCTTTACAATTTCACTTTTAAGCAAGAAAAAAAAACTAGTAATCCTCACTTTTTTCACAGATGCTTTTTGAACAAAGTGTTATTTTTGAATGCAACAAGCAACGAATTGTCTGAAAATTGCTAATTAACAGAATCATAGACTGGTATGGGTTGGAAGGGACCTTAAAGACCATCTAGTTCCAGCACCCCTGCCATGGGCAGGGACACCTCCTGTTAGACCATGTAACTCAAAGTCCCATCCAGCCTGGCCTTGGACACTTCCAGGGATGGAACACCCACAGCTTCTTGGGCAACCTGTGCCAGTGCCTCACCACCTTACAGTAAAGAACTTCTTCCTAATGTGTAACCTAAATCTACCCTGCTCTAGTTTAAAAACATTGCCCTTTGTTCTATCACTACACTCGCTGATAAAGTATCTCTCCCCATCTTTTCTGTAGGCCCCCTTTAGGTATTGGAAGGCTACTAAAAGGTCTCCCCAGAGCCTTCTCTTCTTCAGGCTGAACAGCCTGTCCTGTTCCTACAGATGATGGAAAAATATTTTACTTTTTATTGTTTGGAGGGTTCACAATACAACAGACATTCAGAGTGAGGGTGGGAGGGGGGTGCAAGAAGATGCAAGGGAAGTGGCTCAGCTGTAAATGCAGGTGAAAAAGGATTTAAGACAGAACAGATAATAAATACCCCAGGGAGCTAAAGCCCTTTTAGAATCCAGCTTGCCTGATCAACTGTGCAGGCGACCACGGAATGGAAGAGTCCTTAGTAAACCACAGACTGTAAAGCATATTTTGTGTTGTTAAGCTTTAGTTAAAACAAAATAATTTTTTTTTAAAAAGGCAAAACTAAAAGATGACCTTCAAACAAGACTGTATCTCTTTAAATATATTTCCTCCACTACAAGAAAAGAGGCTAGTTGTTTTGACTTTTTAAAAACACCTGTTTTTTTTTCAGTGCATTGTACACTTCTTTCTTGGAATCTGGGTAGATCCCCCACTCTGATTAGCTCTATAGCTTCTCAACCTTTTTTCCATGACAACTGAGCCATTTCTGCTCAGACATAAACCTTATACTAGATAGAAATGGAGAAAACTATCTTCTTCCACACCTGTGGAGGAAGACAGTATGGACACACTTACTACTCTTTGTTGTGAAACGATTAATTAAGGACTGTGATTTGCTATACACTATTGCCAAGTTGTTCACTGTTTAGTTAATAAAGCAAATGGAAACTTAAGGCCCACTCTTCTGCCTTTCTCAAGTTTTATTTTTATATATACCTAATAGATAATAGAAGGGAGCTTAGCTATTCTTTTTCCAATGTTTCCATGAGAAAACAGTTGTTATCAAAGACAGCTGCAGTTTACAATCACTTTAATCTTCTGTTTGCTCTTGACTGAAGCCACACAATTCTTTTCATATATACCAAGTACTTACCACTTAGTCACTTTTATTTTTAGTATTAACCTTAAGGGTTATTTTTCTATATATTTATGTATGTATTTACCTGAAGGAAGCACAAGCTACATTTTTGTTCACTACAGGTGGAAAACTAAGCATAAGCCATGAAAATGAGTTTTATTTTCTAACTGATTATAAGAAAAGTGGAGATAAACCAATTCATAAATACTTTCTTAAGAGCTTTACTTGTAAAACTGTAAATCTTATCCTTAAATGCACTCTATATTACTTACAGTGGTGTCGAACTGAGAAAGAAATGAATTAATGTCACCATGTTTATTTCCATTTTAAGCCTTACCTCTAGAATCAGCCTTCTTCCTGTACTATAGGTCTTCAGATGTGTTGTATTTTTTACTGGTAAAACTAATTTTCCTCTTCTCCACTGAACTGAAGCAGATGGATTTGCTAGCACTTCACAGCTTATATTGATGGGATTGCCTTCCCAAGAGTAATACATGGTTTGATTTGACACAAATGTTGGAGCATCTGGAAAGAATAAGTAATGAACAAATATATTAAGAGTTTCAGAAAAACAAGCCATATACCCATATCCAAGCATTCATATTCACATAGAACTTTCAGTTGATTGCTGTATCAATTTATTATGGGCCATGAAAACATTGGTATTCAACTCTGAGTTTCTTGATCCTTTATTTTGGTAGTTTTCTCCTCCCATGAAACTGTGCCACCTGGAATTCTCAGAAAGAGAACACCTGCTAATGTTATTGTTAGCATTAGGCAGCATCAGACCCTTGAATGACATCTCAGAAATGTCAAAAATATTGTTTCCTGTGAATGAGAAACTCTTCAGTCAGACCCTTCTATGACAAAGGGAGATGACCTACGAAACATACATATAATCCATTTGTTCATTAATTTTATAGTGTCTTATTTTGCTATGGAGAAATTACATTCACTCTCCAAAGTTTCTTAGATGTGTAAGAGTTATACCCGTTCCTCAGTGGAACTATCTATTACTTAACAATATCTTTTTAAAGAGAGATGTTACATGAATAAACCTAGAAAAAACAAAAGAATATGTAAAGAGTTTCACCATATTCTACCCAGCACAGAAGAGAGCATACTAGTGGAGTTCCATGAAATGAAAAGCAAACTGCATACGCCTGTTTTATGGTTAAGCATGGCCGGGAATCTCAAAATACCAAGAGTCAGAACTTTTCCTCTGGAAATGAAGTTAGTGGTGGGAGCCACTGAAGTAAAAATTGCAGGAACTGACTTCTGCTTAGTGGACAGTTTTATACCTAACGTGTTCAAAATATGGATCAGAAATCTCATCAGACTGTTCATAGGGCACAAAATGTGGTCACTTCACCACAAATTTTAGACAACCTCTGTCTTCCAAAGCACAATTTCTCAGAAAAAAACCCATTCCATTAATGAACACTGGCATGAATGAGCAAGATAGAAGGATGTTCTGTCTGGACCTGACTAATTTTCCTTCCCAAATAATATCATGTAGTTTGATGCTTTCTATTGATTTAAATTCATATGTGGCAAACTCACATCCTATTTTAGAAGTTTTACAAGTCAAGAAGTAGTGTACACTTCTATACTGCAGGTACTAGTATTTAGGAGAACAGGGAGTTTCAGTTCAGACTGCTCTCTTTAGGATCTGTATTTATATTTTAGAAGAATAGATGAGTAACGGACTGTCATCTGTACATGACTAGAGATACTAAGAGACAGTTTTAACATTGCAAAACACAAGTAGGACTAAAAGTCCATCAAACAAAGATATATCTCAAAAACAATAACGCCCAAACATAAAGCATTCCTAAAATAAAAGAGCGTCACATTTCTCTCTCAAAACGTCTGGGTAAAAAGGCTTTGCAGCCACTTCCCCAGCAGTTGCATTCTCCAATATAGCAAAAAGAAGAGGACTGTACTAATAGCTTGATTCAGACATATTACCGTAAGTCAGATGATTTTTGACTTCCTAGTCAGGAATAGATTAAGATGCTTGGAGTGTTTTACATGAAGAAAAAACCCTCTGGAAATAATTGTATACAGTACAAATAAAATATATTTTAGATTTCTCATAAAATTAAATAAGGAGTTGGAAGGTAATAAATGGTTTATAAAGAGATTTTTTTTTTCTTGTATGCTCTTCATCACTCACCATAGTATATTATGCTTCAATGGTTACAGAATTAGTATTTGTCAACCAGAAACACACAGTATGTTTAATATAAAAGAGAGCATGAAAAAATAACAAACCTTAAAGTCAACGCTTTGAAATGATCAGGTTGGTTATTTTATATGTCCACAAAATCTAATTCCTTTTCCTTTCTAGAATAACTATGAAACAGTTTAAATTAATAAACAGAACTTTTATCAAGAAATTCTATGAACTGAAAATTAAGTTTAATCAAGTAAAAATGAAAAGGTGGGCCTTCTCATATGTTCATATATGTTAAGGACACTTAGATGCAATACATGTACTGTATAAAAAGAAAAAAAAAGCTTCCATGCAGATCAGTGAGAATGTTAAAATAACGAAAACAATAAAAATATACTCTGCTTCGCTTCTGTGTAACTCAAGATTCACCTATATGCCTGACCAAAAAAAAAAATCAATTCAGGGTGTAAATGAACTGTTCTTTTTTAGCTGTTGTACATAATGTACTATCAGTTAAGACAAACTATTACTTCTGAAGAGATAAATACAGAATTAGGAGCTTGAATACACTTCATTATTTAAAAACGCGACACTAATTATATTTATTATAACTGAACCTTATGGCACTGTATGGAAAAAGAAAAATCCAAAACTGCAGCAAAGTACAAAAGCTGCTGTTCATATTAGTATACACAATAAAACATGTAATCACAGAATGGGTTGGGCTGGAAGGAACCTTTAAAGATCATCTAGTCCAGGTCCCCTGCAGTGAGCAGGGACATCTTTAACTAGATCGGGTTTCTCAGAGCCCCATCAAGCCAACAGGTCCATGTCTTTCTGGTGCTGGGGACTCTAGAGCTGGACACAGTACTCCAGGTGGGGTCTCACAAAAGTGAGTAGAAGGGCAGAATCACCTCCTTCAATCTGCTCACCGTGCTTCCTTTTAAGGAGCCCAGGATGGAATCAAGTTCGGAAGTACTGTTATAAGCTTGAATGGTGAAAGATGGAGTATTATTTTGGAGAGAGGGGGCAATTTAAATAAGAAAGATGCCTATAATGAACAAAGACTATATCACAAAAGTAGAAAACCAGAGAAAACTCTTCTATGAGAGTAGGATTTAATAAAAAAATTATAAAGTTGGAATGGTATTCTAAAGTAGTTAATATTATGGCATCATCATCAGCTAAACTGAAGTAATTCATTTTCCCAAACAAGAAAGAACCTGACAGGCCAGCACTTTAATTAGAAGTGTTTCTGAATAACCTGCATAAGAAGACATTTTAAGAGAAGCAAACTCTGACCTGAAAACTGTCTCTAGCATTTAGATATCCTTGTCAGGTATAATGTCCAAGAACATTAAGTAATTCAAGAACAGACTAATACATCATCTGTCTCACTCATAAGGTAAATGAATTACTGACTTCAAAGATCCAGCACTGGTCTATGTTCAGCGTTGTACACAGAACTGGATATGGCAAATTACCTGATTTAGAACATGTGTCCAGATAGCTATAAAAGTAAATTGGTGCACAGAATCAGATTTGGACTTCTTAATTTAAGAACATAGGTTTTCAAACTTTTGCCTATCTGTTCCTCAGACAACTTGTTTTCCTGGATCAGAAAATTAAAATACATGACAGATTGTCAGGTCTAAGATGCTGGAACATTTCATGTCGCATATTATTGGAAGCCTACTAAGTGGTTAATACCTAAGTGCTTAATACTGGCATAAATTTCCCATCATCAAGGACTTTAATAAACCACTTCTTCTTGCAAACCTAGTATTTTCCTATCCATCCTGTAAAAGTACATTAATTTTTTGTAACTGCCACAATTTGGTTAACAGCCATCTGCCTTTCTCTTTTATTTTCTCCCTCATACCAGTTCTGCAATAGTTAATATTTTGGAAAGAATAGCTATTCCTTGGAGATAAAGAACAGCCTCCCCAGAAAGGTACAATAACTGTCACATATTCCTTATAACAAGGAATTGTGTTAGAAAGACTTAAAAAAATGAGGCCAGGTGATTAGATTTAAATTTATAATCATCCCTAAAAGGAAGACAGGAACTACAGAGCTTCAGGTTACTAACTTTCACAATTTTATTCCTACAATAGTGTAGCTGCATGGGAAAATGTGCAAGGTCTGCATGTGAAGTTTCCAAATTGAAAAGCAAATGAAACTTGTCACATACTATATTTAAATTGCCATTATTATTAGCTAAAAGCAGAGGGTTTTTTTTCAGAATCCAGATCATCATTTAAAAAGTTTAAGACAGTTAAGCAGTTTTGCAGAGGTACATGTTGTTGTTTTTTTGCAGCAAGTACTAGGAATCACCCTTCTCAGTACTGTTTCCTTTCCCTCACCACATTCTCTTGGTTCCTCTCAAAATATATTATGATAAAACATTGATATTTAATAGTAAGATGGACTATATACTAATTATATAGTTTATGCAAGAGCAAGATTAGTACTGGCAAACAGTACTAATCTCTGATAACCTTGACTATGATATTATTCTTAATATTCAAACACCACAGTAATTTCTCAATTTCCAAAAGGAGAGGCAAAAAATTAGTTACCATGAAGATAAGGTATCTTTCTGCTAGATGCAAAGTAAGTTGTTGATAGTAGCACCTTCAACCTTAAACAAATGGTGGGCAATGAATGCATGCATAGTTCGGGTGCTCAGTGTTGCTGGAGTCACAGAAATGCAATGTATCTATTTTTATTTGAACTCCATATCAAGGAATTGTATTTGGCTGATCACTTAAAAATAACCACAAACCAAAACAATAAAATCCAAAACCCACAAACCAAACAAAAAACTCAAGATATGTGTGAATGGATAAACCTGTCTAAAATTATTTAAACTTGTCTAAAATAGAAGAAATTACAAAGAAATCATATGCAGATAAAATAAACTAAGTATGCCAATAGTGATGTGGAAATGAAACCGTCCGCATACATCTATCAGTCATTTTTTATGTCAGTAAATCACTAAGAACACTGGACATCAGAACAAGAACAGGAAAACTCTCCCTACACATCTCTCACACTAGCACTAATTTTTATTTTAGTAATAAAATTACCAGATATTGCCAATTACTGACACATTATTTCTGAATGGCACCAATTTGTATTAAATTTCAATTGTTATATATATTCCAGGACAAAATTAGTGGAATAATTTAGGGTGGCCAAACTTCTGACATTCTGTGTATTGGGCTACATAATTCTCTTATAGACAAAAGTGAAAAACTGCAATGTCTTTCTCAAACCAGGATCCTAAATCCAATCTCTCTTTCTATCCTACTTGTATTTTCAGAACAAAATCCAATTTTGTATCTTTACCTTCTGTATCTTTCTATCTGTCGCCCTTAACTCCATAATATGCCTCCTATTAATATCTTCCCTCTATCCCTTCATATCTATTTATCTACCTAAATAATTAGTTCAAATTGAGGTAGGGAGAAAAAAAAACAAACAAGAGTGTTTCTGATAAGTAATAGAGTAGTATAGTATAATCAGTACTGCATACATTTCTCTACAGGTAAGGACAATGTTGCACATGTTCCATCTTTTTTAATTTTTTTTGGGGGGTACCACTGAATGCTATTACTTTAATATGGAATATAATTGCAAAGTTCAGGTTTAGCTAAAAAAAACCCCAGTAGTTTCTAATTTTTGGAAGACAATTTAAAAAACTTATTTATTTATTTATTTATCTATTTCAAAGAAATCGCTTTTCAGATATCATATTTGTCAACCACTCACGTGGCTGGTCTCAAATAAGAATGTACCATGTTACTGAATGTAATAAGTTTGCAATAGTTGATTATATCCCAAAACTCTAATCTTTGCATGCAGAGAGGAGGCAGGCATTTTTGGACCATCCAGCATATCTAATAACTGCAGTATCGATATTGAAGTTGGGGAGTTTTAACTGAAAAAGAGAGATGTGAAAACTGGTAACTGCAGCTACAGAAGAATTAGGATGCTTCCTGGGTAGTGTATGGAAAACCAGAGACTTTTGCAAAGAACGTAGCTTGATGCATTTTCTCTAGTAACAGAAGTATTCTCCTGAGGAATTTGCACTTGGTGGTACAGAACAGTCAGAGAGACCAGCATTTCACACACTGTGTGTGCCTCAGAGTATGCAATTAAGTGCTGTGAATTCTTCTGTGTTAATGACAGTTCGAACACAATGAAGGGAAAACTGTAAGGGCAAGCAGAAAGCCACTTTCAAGGACCAGAGTCTGCCAATCATAACTGGCTTGTTCAAATCCTTTCCAACTCAGTAATGGCATCGATGCATTCCAACTAAGAATAATACTATTAAGAAAGATGATCCAGTGTAACAAACGTGTCAAAGTTACAATTTTTCATTTTCTAATACTAATCATTGCAGTGAATAATTTGTGGAACCCAAGAAATAAAGTCCTCTCAGAATGTTTCTTCTCTTAGTGAGGTCTGTTTTATGTCTTTCTGGATTCCACTATAATTCCAGCGTACATTTTTCAGATTAATTATGTCTCAGCTAGAAAGATAAAAAATACCATATAGAAATGTAAACACCTGCACGGGAAAATAGTAACTTTGAAAGGTACCTGAAAGTATTATATGTACACATCAAGTTCTAATGCACTGGGTTTTGTATATTTAACTTCCTCAGATCCTTCTGAAAAAATTCAGACTATCTCCTGCTTCATCTACCTTTTATCTATTTCTATCATGGTTCTTATTTAAAAAAGCAAAAGTTATTTATCTATGATAAATATATAGATAGTCACTATAGACATGTCTTAATACCCAATGACTAATACACATCATATATGCCATCACACAGGAAATTTTCAATCAGCTACTTCTATTATTATTATTATTATTATTATTATTATTCAATACACACTAGGCTCCATATGTATAATCAAATTTTGCAGTTAATGAAATCTTTTAGTAAATAACATTTATAATGGAATCTTTCTTTTTCACTTAATTTTCATTCATTTTTCATACTTAAGAGAAGGAAAACTAAATATAACTCAATGAAAGGATGACTTTGTGGGAAGAAATCCTTATAAATACTTCTGGGTTCCCTACAATTCACGTCTGCCTAGCATTTACTTCAGACAAAATGTAGGGTTAACTGTGCCCACTTTGTATCAAACCTGATAATCTCTTCCTGTCCTGCAGAACTGCTCTTATCATCAAGAGCAAGCCCAACAGAGAGTAAGGATAAAGCACAGAAACTCTGTGCAATCCTACTGTCACTTTAAGTCTCTGATAGGGGTCACTAAGTAAAATGGTGAGACAGTGACACCAGAGTGCTCTGTGTCTCCATTAGGACTGCTTAACTGCACTGATGTTGAAGGATGTGGTGGGTATATGCTCCTCTCATGACTATATAAACTGTCAAATTTATTAAAGCATATAGAGAAAACTGCTGGAGTTCTGTTATTAACTTACAGAGTGGTACAGATGCATTCACTAGTCCTATCTAGAAACTAAGGAACACTATAAACAATTAGGTCTTGTTTATTTATTTATATTTTCATTTCAAATAGTTATTGAGGTTTATACTAGGATATTATTAAAAATCATAAAAATTTGGCTAAGATGACTCACCAGTGATTGTGCAAGAGCCAGCCAAACCTGAAAAAATTCTTCTCAATACGAGTTTAGAAGAGAACAAAATCAAAATAATTGAAGTGACGGTTAAATATTTTAAAGGATTTTATGCAATTTGGTAAACTAATATTTGGCTAAAAATGTAAAAAACCCCTGTTTATAATTACAGTTAAAATGCTGAAAAAAAATCACATAAAATAATACAAAGACAGTCAAATTATTTATTCAATACCAACTTCACAGAATGTCATAACAATTTCCTCCCATTTTCCAATTTTGCTACAAGAATACAAATTTGTTGTTTGGTCTTTGAATCTTTTCCTTGAAGTCTCTAGCCTGCAATTTACAAAGGGAAATAACTGGAATGAAGGACAACTATGACACCCGCTTCATAAAAGAACGTATCTGTAGTTGAGAAAAGGACTGTTAGCACTTATGACAACACAGCATTGCATGGAAATGCTGGTAATGAGATCCTGATAGATTCTTTGAAGACACTATTTCATCACAGAAGTTTATGATAGAGGCTAGGGTGATGGGAGATGAGGCTGGAAAGAAGATAATTCCTTCTGGGGACACTATTTTGAAGTACAGAAGAAGTCTTCACCATTAAACAGATGTTTTCTTTCCTGAGCCAAGAAAAATAAGTTATACTAGCAGTTCATACATCAGTGCAAAGTTATTGTGAAGGTAAGCAAAAAAGCCTCTGGCTTGTTAATCGGAATATGAATGGAGACAGACCTATACAGTATCACCCCAAAAATACTGGCTTTGTGTTTTAAAAATACCTGATATAAATAACATGGAGAAACCTGTACTTCCATTATTCAAAGAACATCTGTACTGGAAAAATATGTATTTGATTTACACCTCATTATCAGTTAAAATCTTTAAAACTGAAAACTCCGACTTCAGAAGTGCCATAATTTTATGATATGGCTTGATATTGTGTGATATCTCTGATGACAGAATATTATTTCTATGTGGTTTTCTTTAAATTGTGTTTTCTGTGATTCTCAGATTTCTAAACTGTAAAAAGTTTTATGTTGTATCAAAAAGTGTGTCTACCAAGGCTTAAATACAGACTTAAACCAATATGACTATTCTATTTTCTCATACATTATATTTGATTGTTCTCACACATATTCAAAATTAAGTCTGCCATACCATAATGAGAATACGCTAATTTTAAACTCTCAGCATCTGTTCATCCTAAATGGTGTTTTAGATTATAATAAAGTATTGTATCAATCAAGAGATTTTGCATGCCCTTTAGTATGACTTCTGTGCTGCTAATAAATTCTTAAACTTCAATTGCCTATGCTTCATAAAATATGGTGCATTCTATTTCTTCTGAATACAAAAGGTATAAATATTTAATTTTAAAGCATGACAGCTATATAATCTTATTCAAACAATATATTTCATATCACTGTGTAGAGCAGGACAGGAACTTTATTGAACTTGTATTTTTATCTAGCAAAATATATTTTTTCCTTTACATACATATAAGATTAATAACTTACAAGTGCACCAGTTCACTCATTAAAGAAATAAACATAGTTAATTAACATGCTCCTAAAAGAAGAATTATATTTTTTAAAGTTTAAAATCTCCTTATATGTCTATTTATTGAACAGTAGCTAAGTTGATGCTATTAATAAATACTGTATTTATTTCTCACGTCTTCTGGCTTTGCAAATCTCTTCATTCCCTACATCCAACTACAACTTTGACAGTTTCTCATCTTCCTTTCAGATTTATTGTCTATGTCATAATGTATTGCTTGCTTGCCAAAAAGATGAAACATGCAACTGTTTAGAGAAGCCACTTTCAGAACTCCTCAGGAAATTACTCTGTGGTCTGCAACTTTCTGTGCCACAGATAGAAATGGGCAGAAATTCTGTCTTCCCAGGGGAAGTACAGAGTATCAACCCCAAACAAGCTCACTCAAGCTGTGTTGGAAATATAGAACAAATATATCTAGAAAATCTCTAGCAAAATAGAAGAAGGATGAAATATAAAAGAAGAGTGGTTCTTTTGTCTGTTTTCAGTTTTAGAAGACCTTTGTTTTCTGAATTTGAAGAACAGTTTGAAGGGACAATTTTCCAAGGAATTTTTGTGTATTTCAAATTTAAATCCTCTGACTAGTTTCTAAAACATCCCACTCTTCTATAACCGAAAACAATCTCCTTTTCTCCTGGATAATTCAAGAGCTCTGAATAAAGACAATCTCTTTTAAAAGAGATTGTCACAGACTGTGAACTCCAGGAGGGGTTATAACAGGGGCTAGAGACTTCTTGGGGATTAGTAAATCAGAGAACAAGGAAAAAAACAGAAGACTTTGTTGAATCTCAGAAGGTTAAGCTCAAGACTGAGCTGTTGCTCAAATCAATCCTTCCCCACTGAATACTTTTAACCCATAGCCTGAAGAGTTGAAGTTATTAAGCTTAGCCCTAAGTTAGTGGTTAATACCACTGGAATATGACTTCAGATGGAATCCTGTCTTGCTTAAATCACCATCAAGTGTATTGTCAACTTCAGAAAAGACAAGATTCCTCCAGAGAATTCAGTATCACTAACTACAGAAGAACATGCTTTCTTAAATTATGCAAGTTTAAACATGAAATACCATGAAAAACTGACCTTCCATTAAGAATGTACTTTTTTTTTAAACAAATTTAAAATAGGAAAAAAATATTAGAACTTACATTCAATATCAAGGTACATGCTCTTTTGGTGCCCACCAATTCTACTTGCAGCTTCACAGTCATATCTCCCTGAATCTGACAACTTCACATCTTTTATATGCAGTGACGATTTTCCATGCTGCCCTTTGACTTCTATACGGCCATCTGGGCTCTGTTTACATTGATTCAGGAAAAAGAAAGGTTTTATATATATATATTTATGTATGTTTTATATATTAAACACCATTGATAAGTATGACTGAAAGTATCTTACCTATGGTGAAGACATACTGACAGCTAAGCAACTTCTAATTTTTTCAAATAATTAAAAATATAGATAAAAATATTCTATTTCTAGGCACTATAATCAAGGGAATAAGTACATGCTTAAAGGAACATTGTCAAGGTAAACAACAAAATGTATCCACTTACAACTGGAATAACGAACTATATACTCAAAACCTGTTTATAATCTCACTCGCTATGACGCTGCAGTTAACAAAAATGCATACATGTAATAGCAAAGTAACTTGGATTAGAGTTAGAATTATCTCTCCTGTTCTTAAAAACGGAACTGTGAAACTGAATAGAAATATTCTCTTGAACAATGACCAATACACAGATTCAGTCATAGATTTATTTTAATTATTTACATATTCTTGTCAGAAGAACTGTTAAAAAATGGGACCAATAATGCAAGAGAAATTTCTGGATATCACTTTTTCATCATTACATGGAAAAGGAAAGTTATTACCTGAAGGGGAAAAAAAAAGTTATTTTTAATCAGTTTCTGCTTGTTACTTGTTCTGTAGCTATGTGAAATTTGCTTTACCTTGTTTCACTTTTTTCATATGACACAAAAAACCATGGTTATGTACCTACCTTCATTATTGAGGAATGTGGACAAAGAAGCGAAACCCAATAACTATTTAATTGAATCACGTTTAAACTCGAAACATACTTTAATGTCTAATCCTACAAATAATGTCCAATCAAGTTCACTGCTTTTTACACCAAATACTCACCAAGTGCCAGCTGATATTTAAGTGACTGAGCTTTTAACTTTGTACAATTGTTTCTTCATTGAATACAGCAAAAATACACACAATTTAGATCTTAAAATATTTGACATAAAGCAGATATATAAAGCATTCTGTAAACCATAAATTGTCTGGAAAGAAAAGTATTCTGATCCCATATCAGAATTCAAGAACATTGAATGTTGTTTCCTGTGAAAACCTCACAGCATAGGTACATAACATGAAGTTATGGCATTCTAATGCAAGAGCAAACCTGTGTGGATTGGTAAAAATTAGTTACTAAGACCACTTAGTTGTGTTTTGTGTAATTTCTAACCCTGCAGTATTTAATGCAAAGTTATTTGGAGAGAATTCATGGGGTGATTAAAACGCAATTTCTTTAAAATAAAACATTAAATAGTTTTATACTTTCTGATATCAAAAGTACTTGTTATATATATATAAATATTATATACATACATAGATACACATAACAAGTACTTTATATGACATTGTTAATAATGGTATTATTTACCTATGGATTATTTGCTTTTGTTTGCAAGCATTCAAGTACATAATGCAACAGCAAATCTACAATATTACTACCTAAAATGTACATACACTTGAGCAAGCTTTTTTCTCATTTTGCCTTGATTACAAATATTTGCCTAAGAAGACGCATTTAAAACTGTGAGAAGACATGTGCTGAAACAACCTGTGACTAGGAATCACAGCTACAGTTCTAAATACCGTACTATTGATTCACTAAGAACTGCCCTCCTAAAGCTCTAGGGTAGCTCTATACAATAGAGAGCAGAAGTAAAGAACAGGTATTTTTGAGAAAAAGATTTTCTTTGACCTTCCTTTCTGTGTATTACAAAAGTACAATGAGGAGCGAAATTCTTTCTTAGTACCTTTTCCTTACACAACACACTGTCTTTCTGTGAAATTACATTGACATAGCTATAATGACACATTCACTGAAGTTCTGTCGCTGTGATTTTCTGAATTAGATCAGCGATAACTCAGCTACCTCAATTTTCTGTTTCAGGTAATAGATTATTAGAAGCATATAAGAACCTTCTGTGCAGTATGGCCAACAGGATTCCAGTAAAAAGAGTTAAATTATTTATAACCCTCACTGAAGTCACTAAAGGTATTTTTACATAAATACCAAATTTGCAGTGCTATTTTGGATTTGATAACAAAGGAAAAATTTATCAGTCCAATACTAATCTCAAATACTCTCACTATATTATTCACTATATATTTCACTATAATTAATACCATACATTCTAAAACACAGGAGTGCTGATGTTTACAAAAAAAAAAAGAAAAAGGTAATGAAAATAAGCAAAAATATCCTTAAAATTAAATAGCTTTTACAGTAATCATCTATTCTCATGATCAAATATTTGGTAAGAAGCATTTTGAGAGGGATCCACTATGTTAAAAAAAGTCCATAAAAAAACTCCACAACAAACCAAACCAAACAAACCCAAAAAACATGCAACAACTGTAGGCAAGAAAAATCATAAAAATATATATTTGGTAAAGTTAATTTCTACTTTTACAAAACTGTATGAAAATGTTTCCTTATAAAATGATTTAAAATATGCAATAAGATATTTTCTGCTGCATATTGTACTGTGGCTTCTTCATGAACAGTTAGGAAGTCCACTTCCTTGGTTCTAGCCTGAGGATGGATTAGTGTACAACACCATTAATTTTTCTGGAGATATGGTGCAATACCTAACTAAAATAAACCATCTGGGTGACACTCCTGAACAAATATATTTAAAGAAAACAACAGTGAAAATACAGACCAAGAAAATTCCAGTAATAATTAAATAACTAGATAAATAAATAAATAAATTTAAAGGTAAATGAATAAAAAGAAAGTAGATTAATAAATAAATAAATAGATTGGTAGCTAACTAACTAACTAAATATTTTGTAGCAGTTGCCTGTGTCTAGAAAGGAGTCACAGAACATGCTGGAGATTAATACATACAAATGTAAAATGCTAGAGAGCATGATGAATTTTCACAAGGACCTCAAAAATATTGGTGTGGTTGTATTATATTATTTTGTGATGTAAGTCAGTTCATATAGATCCATGTATTAAAGTCAAGGACATATTGTGGTAACACAAAAAGGGCAATAACAGTGCACTGATGCTGAAGTACAACTGAGAACATTAGGAGCACAGCAAAGACACATAAGTTGACTATGGTAAAAAGCAATGAAGAAGCTGGGACAAAAATTGAATATGCAGCGTTAGCGTGAAGCAAAAATTGCTGGTTGTTCTAAAGGGCATTATGAAAACTATAACATACCAACAAAGCAGTAGCCTGCGTTCAGACTACTCGTAATGTCAGTCTTCTTATTATAATTTTGAACAGCAAATACACAATGTCAAACAGAGGCAGCTCTAACCTTAGGGTGTGTGCCCACCAGAAATTTATAACTCATGGTAAAATCTCTCTGAGCCTTATTTCCCTCCCGCGCTACGTTATGAAGAGCACATGTTAGCACCATGTCTGGCACCGTAACGCAACAAAACAGGAAGAGGAAGAGACAGCAGAAATGGGGACTCAAAGTACACTGCACCTGCCTCGGTAGAAATCCCCACCTGGAAAAAAGCACTGGAGCTGCCAATGATGACAAACCAAACCACAATATAATCTCTACGAATTAATAACCTCAGTAATTCTCAAATCTGCCTGAAATAATAATGAACACCTGCTAAAATGAAATATTCTTTCTTCTTTCCTTTTATATATTATAGAGGGAGAGATGTAAAATACTTACTATGGTGTTTTCTGCTAGACTGAATAAGTACACATGCCTTTATTTCTTAGCATTAATAGAGTATAAAATACAAAAAACCCAAAACCCTAGACAAACAGAACAGTCTCTGTGTTTCAATACTCATAATTTCTGCTCATTCACTGAATTACTCTATATCAACTACCACCATGAAGCATGAATAATCACTGAGGTCCGAGGAACATATGTGGTCAACACAGTTCCATAAACATATATTTCTTTAGGAGTGTGTTAACAGGTGCTTTCACTCTAAGACATTGGAAGAATAATTACAACGAACAAATTGTTGTGTGTCCTGAAAATGGTAAAGACAGACAAGATTTTCAGAAGTTATCTTTTTCCATCATTTTGGAAATAATAAAAAAACTTAAAAAATCAATGGGGTTTTTTTCATCGTTAATGGGAGAATTTTAGAGAATTCATAAATAAGAGTGAGGGTTTGGCTGCTTTAGTTGTGTTTTTCCCTCCCACAACCTATCACCAGCATAAAGCTAAAGTAGAGGTAACAAATCTTCAGCAGAGACTTTGCTATTGTTTTCCTCAGGTACAGCTGACTTTGTGAATTTATCCACCTAAAACCCCACACTTCCTAAATTAAGAATTTAGCATTTCACAGAAAAACACCTTTTATTTTGATTACTGATAGGTTCTATGTCCTTGTCAGAGAAGAAAAAGCTCTTCTATATGGGTCTCCTGAGTACATTATCCATGATGACAACACTGAGGTATAAAGAAATGCCATCTGAAAAAACAAACAAACAAAACAAAACAACCCAAACCAAAACCGGAAGGGTGAGAACTTTCTTCACTTGCAATATTCTTACTCAGAATATATAGTTTAACCCAAATGAATCCTACACTAATCATAAAATGGGAGGTATCTCATCTTGAGATTAATTCTACAGAATATGTAACAGTAAATAAATATTTTTGGTTTTGATAAAATTCTTGTCTTGCTATATAAGCAATTCTGCTATCTGACATTTACTGTCATGTTTTTGCTTCCCAAACTTCTCAACAATTTGTAGTTCCACACATGAAGATTCCCAAAGTCCTGACGGGCTGATGCTGACCTGACTGGTCGATGCACAGCTCCAAAACCATGTTCCAGAGCTCCCAAGGCAGTCCCAGAATGATAATAACCGTGTATTTTGAGGGTTCCACATGCAGAGAGAACAGGGATGTGAACAGACAACAACATCCACAGAGAGACGAGAACTACTGCACAATTCCATTGCCACTGTAGTAAAAATAGTGTAATTTCTCTGAAGGGGAGAATTAGGTGATTAAGATGCTTTGAAATTGTTGTTCTTTTTCAATC